TACAGTGCAACCTCTCCATAAGAAACGGGCAGATGCATAGCCAAAGTGTTTCTTATAGAGAGTGTTTCTTCAAGGGAGGTTCTGTTATAGGTATAGAAACTCCAAAATATATTTCAAATCCGTTTCTCCAAAGGAGGTGTTTCCCCAAGAGAAGTTTCCCCAAGAGAGGTTGCACTGTATTAATAGAAGTTTAGTTTATGATCAGTTATCTCTGATAAGAGTAGGGCTGATAATAATAGTCAAATTACCAAAAGTTGTAAAACAAGTTTACATTTTATAACTGAAAGCATGCACTTATTAATTGATAATATTTTAAATAATCAAAAATTATATTGTTTAAATATTTATTTATTTTATCATTTAATATTTGTATTTACTGCCACACAAATAATTAAACTTATGGTAATCGCAAAACAATTTGATTTATATTTATGATTACCATTTATGGTATATTTAGTCACATGTTTATTACTTGTATAATGGGTTAGAGTTTTGGTCACATTTTCCTCAACCCTTACCGAAGACATTATTGCCTGACAAACACTGCGGGCACTGACGAGTGAGTTACGCGCCGTATGGTTAATATGCAATGATTTACCACCGGTTTGTCCGTCAGTCACCCACTGGTATACCCGGACGTAGTCTATGATCAGTGCCGAGCAATTCCAGCGCCGATAGTCTTCGTAAGACAGGGACTGATTGGGAAATACCGTCTCATCGGCGCCGACAGCCAGAGTGAGGCTCAGACGGAAGGGCCGGTCAAATGGCTGTCCACTCGTATTGTATGACAGGTAATGGCTGTCATCGAGAAACCAATGGACACCCGATTCGCTCCACTCTATAGTATAGCTATGAAAGTCGTGTAGCGTTTCGTTGGTCTCGTAATACCATTCCTCTACATCTGCCGACCAATCGGTGACCAAAGCGCTGATTACCACACCTGGTGTTTGATCGTTGCTAACAATGTCTATCTGACCGCCGGTGCCGTTGCGCTCAATTAGCGATATCACTGGCCGTAAAAGTTTGCCGGCGGGCAGAGCGGCCCTCACCTCAAACACACCGTAAATCCAGTCCTGTGTCGACACAACCGACGCCGATGTGTAGTCAGTGGCCGAAGGTGCGGTGCCGACCATTGTCTGTGTCCAGTGTCTCGCGTACGGCCGTAATTGCCAGACAGCCCTCACGGAGCTGTAGATTTTTCAACGAGTTTGAGTCGCAGTGCAGTTGGTATTGAGGTTTGTCTTAAATTATGGTAATTTTATGGTGAGATTAGTGGTAGGGTTGTAGTGATTAGGCTGTGATAAGACATACCCTCACACCTCCCGTCCCGCCATTTGTCGGCGATTTCCCACTTATTATTGTCCACTGAATTGCCATTGAATTCATCACTCCATACGAGTTGTAAATGTTTGCCACAATTCACAGCATTTATAATCATTATATAAATTGTGGTAATTTTAAAGCACTTCATTATATTGTGATTTAACTATATTTATTTATTAGCACTTTTAATAAATGGCTTTAAAGTCTAATAAATGTATTAATTTATATATAATTTAATCATTTAATGTTAAGAAATATAATTGCATTAAAAAGTGATAATATTATTACCGTAATATAAATATTTTAAAAACAATTTTTTCTTGTTTTGCGATAAGAGATATGACATACAAAATGCCGAAAATAATATTTAATTTATAAATAAACTCATTATAAATTAATATTAACTTAAAATACCAAAACATTATTAAATGCTCAAATAGGATACGTGATAAATATTTTAAATTATAATTTTATTATTTCCTAATAAATTCTGAAAGTATTAAAACATAAAATTGATATTTATGTAATTTCAAAGATACTAGTATGTTTAAAAAACTGTCTATAATCTCAAATATTGTGTATTAAATCTTAATAATCGCTCTTATAATAAATGTAAAACTAACTTAATTAAGAAATTGGCTATTTTAATTAATAACATATTACTCATTTACATTAAGCCTAAACTCGTGGTAATAAAAGTGATAATAAACTGGAATTTATTAAAGAAAGTGATAACGTGTTGTAAAACTGGTTTGAATTGGTTTTAAAAATTTATAGAAAGGTTAGAGAAAACATGTGCTCAAACATGCATTAGATTTTAATTATTATAAGTATTTGTTTTACATTTGATTTGTATTGAAATCGTTAACATTGTATTTGCTGTAATAAACATGTGTTCAAAATTAATGAGTGTTGTTTGAAGACCATGGTGCAATTTTCTTTATTACATTTAAATNCGAAAATAATGAGTATTTTTCAATCAATCAAACAATTGATTGCAATTCATGTAAAATCAGTGATAAAATGCTAAACAATTGTCATATCATTACTAAATCTGATGATTATTTTCACTGTTTTTGGCCTAAATGTCAATACAAGACACAATGGAAGGGGGATTTTAACAAACATGAATTCAGACATTCAGAAATAAAACAATTTAAATGTGATTTTGATTATTGTACTAAAATTTATAAAACAACATCTGATTTAAAACAACACAAAAATAGCATTCATTTAAATGTGAGATTTATTTGTGATTTTAATGAATGCCACAAAAGTTTTACTAATAGACAAATTTTAAAACGACACAAAAGTTGTGTTCATTTGAATGAAAGAAAATTTAAATGTAATAAAGAAAATTGCACCATGGTCTTCAAACAACATGAACATTTATTAGGCCATATCAGAACAGTTCATTTAAAATTAAAATCATTTATTTGTGATTTCAATGAATGCCACAAATGTTTTACAACAAAACAGTCTTTATTTCGACACAAAAGTTGTGTTCATTTGAATGAAAAGAAATTCAAATGTAATGAAGAAAATTGTGGCAAACGTTTTGGCCAGAAAATCGATTTTCAACGACATAAACGCATACATTCGGGAGAAAAACCATTTGTTTGTCATTTTAATGAGTGTAATAAATGTTTTTGCAAAACTGGCGATTTAAAAGTACATATGAAAAGACATCTGAATATAAAAAGCCATAAATGTATTCATAATAACTGTAATCAACGGTTTGTTACGAAACAGGAATTAAAGGCACATTTGAAGACGAATAAACATTGATCTAATGTAAAACTGTATTATTTAAAGTGATAATTAATTTTATTTTAATTCATTGCAAATTTATGAATCTGAAATAAACTTGTAATTTTATTTGCTACTTATTAAAATGTTTTAATGACAATATTGTACTTAATATTTCATAATGCACAGTATCTAAAAACAGTAACAAATAGTATTTAAAAATTTTATATAGAAAACAGTGAAAGTAGTAAAATAGATAGTAAAATACATTATCTTAATTTCATTCAACTTAATTGTTATAAACGATTAATAAATTCTTTACAACAAAACTTCAATTCAATGAAAACAATGACAATCGATAGAAAATGTCCACAAATTAACAAATATAAGGCGTCGGATGAGTGCCGGACAGTCAACGCCTCCCACTCTTTAATATCCATTGCGTTAAACTCGTTGTAAAACATTAAACCGCCGATCATTTTAGGCAATTCCTGTACCCAATGGTTGTAAACACCACTTTCCAGTAATTGACTTATACTATGTAACAAACATTATAGAATGTTTAAAAATCTAAAAAAAACAATGGTAAAATAATATACTCGCACTTACACTACATTCAATGGATTTAGTAGCCAATTGGCAACAGCTGTATTAACCATCAAAAAATAGGGCAATTCTCCGCCCCCGTCACGGGATATATGAAATTTTTTGGACAATGAGCTAGATCCATTACCAGCAATCATAAACGTGGTCATCATATTCCATGGATTATTCACGTAAGCGTATTCACCGCTTTCCATACGCTTTGCAAATGTTTGCCAAAAGTTTTCAGTTTGTTTCAATGTAATGACCTCGATACGTTTAAGAAAATTACGTGCCATTGGGGTATTGTGTGTATTGGCATAAGTGACTAGCTCGTTAAATCTAAATACCATAATCTTAATATCGGGTCTATTGTACAGGTCGTGCCACGAGTCGATCCGCTGCTCGGGTACCGATGTTATCATGTAATCCAATAGAAAGCAACAAAACATTATCCATAGATAAGTTGATGCCCAGAGCCAAAGCGCTGCTACAGATTTAGTAGCTAGATTATTTTCGCATAAATAATATCTGGGTATTGATCTGGTTAATAATATAACTGTATTGTGCCATAATATTTTCATACATTTACCACAATCTTTATTCCAATTTATTATAGCCATACTAATTGTTACAGCAATTAATGTTAACAATACTGTTAGCCAGAGATCGCCAGTAAAACAGTGAATGTATTTAAAGAGGGGATCGTTTGCCCGCCGGACCTGATATGCGATACTAGACATTGAGTTATAGCCCAATGTCTTACTGTGTGTGATGTGTACTAAACCATTGGTCATATGACTGACCACTTGCTTATAATATAGGTATGTGTTTGAATCGGCATCCATGAGCATCAGGTCAGGTGCGTTGGTTTTTAGCTGATCGTAATAAGTAGATGGACCTCTCGAGGGCTGTATGTATTGAAAGCTACATACAATTGTTAAATGTACAAATATTAATTTAATTTTAATCAACGTAATTTAATTAAATATAAAATTATAAATATTTTATTTGCCATTCTATAAAATAAGTCTTACTTTAAATGATGTTTGTTGAGCAAAGCTTTAATTATCATGATCAAAGGCCCGCAAACAAATGATTGGCCATTATGGTCGAGGAAAATATTAGGCAACGTAACATCAGGTTGTACTATTATAGATTTGCTATTATTATGGATAATTGTTTGTGTTTGTGCTAATAGACACTGTTTAGACAACATATTTTAAATCTATGTTAAAAGTTTTAACTTAAAACACGGCTGAATAATATAGACAATATGATTAATATGATGTGGTTATTGAATCAACAAGGTGTTTTAATGTAAAGAATTTATTCTCTCTCTCTCTCTCTCTCTCTCTCTCTCTCT